CGTGCTTGCCCCCCGCACCGGGCTTCAGCCTGTTTCCACAGCAGGCAACCCTGGGGCTGCTCCCCTGGGGCTGCTCCCCTGGGGCACGTAAGCAGCAAGTCGTTTAAACTGGCCGCTGCGTTCGTTAACACAGGGAGATGAGTGCTTCCAGAAAGTGTCTCCACGGTGAGATCTGCAGTGGGCCAGACGGTGGGAGGTGGTGGGAGGAGCAGGGGCTGCCCTTCCCCGCTCCTCCAGCTCTACCGGGATGCCCCGGGCCGTCCCGTCTCTCCCAGTTTCTTCCCAGTGCAAGATCCTGCGCTGCAACTCGGAGTACGTGGCTGCCACGCTCAACCTGCGCGGCTCCAGCAGGCACGCGGCGTACTGCAACGCCCTCCGCTCCTACTCCCACTGCACCCGCAAGACGGCACGCACGCGCAACCATCAGGGCTTCGCGTCTCTCGACATCTGCAACTACGAGAAGAGTTTTCTCTACAAGTACGGCCAGCCCCCCAGCTACCAGCACTGCGCGGCTTTCGGGGACCCCCACATCCGCACCTTCCATGACGACTTCCACACCTGCCGAGTGGAGGGCTCCTGGCCTCTCTTGGACAATGACTACTTGTTCGTGCAAGCAACCAGCTCTCCGGTGGCGAAGGGCTCCAACGCTACGGTCACCAGCAAGGTAACGCTTGGGCACGGGGTTCGGCAGCAAACCCGTTCACCTCCGGGATGCAGCAACGGCTGCGCTCCCTAAGATGGCTGGGGAGGGCAGCAATAGCTTCAGCGAAACCCACCTGGGACCAGGAACAAGTGGGATGAAGGTCCCTGAGGGGACCAGAGACCTGCAAGCGCTCCCATTGCTGCCTGGGGATGGGTTACTCTGTGGTCCGTGGGTCACGTGCAGGCAGGCTTGGCCCCGTCTCAGTTCTCAGCTGCTTAAATGATGTTAAAGAAAGAAGGAAGCAAAGGAAGGGAAGAAGGAAAGGTTGCTGTTTTCCCAGAGGACTGCAGCAACGTGGGGGGGGTGGTTTGGGGCGGAGGCGGACGCGTCGGTGAGGCAGACGTGCGCAGTCCCGGGGTAGCTGGTTCCCGGGGTGGGGACACAGCCGCTACCCGGCAAGGCAGACCAAACCCCCCCCATCCACTCCCTGCAGCTCACCATCATCTTCAAGAACATGAAGGAATGCATCGACCAGAAGGTCTACCAGGCTGAGATCGACA